TTGTGTTTTACATCCTACAGATTATAAATCAATTGGTTTTGAGGGTTAGAAAAGTAAAATTGCAATATGCATCTCATTAGGTATTTAAATGTATAAGCGTATACTACAACGTTTCTGCAATCGAGTGTATATATATATATATATGATAGTATCCAATGATTACTAACGGATATTCGACATTCCGTCGATACCGCACGTAACTCGCTGATTCAAACCAGAAGGAATGGTTTGAAAGGAATTTTTATATAAGTTAAGAGCACCCTATTTAGTATCTTATATATTATAATTATGTATTTCAAATGGGATTCCATTGATTCCGTGGTTTTATAGCAATGCCGGTTAAAATGTGTTTTTGTGCAAGACTTGAATTTGAAACTCGATCCAAGAAAGTCACCTTAAAGGCTCCTTTGAGATGGTAAGTCTAAACTAATCATGACTATAAACGTTTGTTTAGGAAGGAGATATGGTGTACTTGGATTGGAAGCCAGAAAAAGATGCTGATAGTGGAAAAATATTAAGTAAGTCAGTATTGTCAAAAATAAAGATATATTAATCTCATGAAAAAGCATTAACATTATCACCATCAACAACAACGTAATAGGCGACTTGCACTAAGAGGTCACGTGATCAAATCGGCCATTGTGGCTGGCATTCTACAGGTTTTTAGCTATGCGAGAATGTAAAAAAAGATATCGCCCTATTAGCATGGCCATTATATGTCGTCTAATATTGCCTGAGATTGCCTTATGTCACCTTATATCACCTAAGCTTATGCCCCATTTTTTTGGAAAATTCCTCGTTCCGCCTATCATTGCCTTATTGCCATTTCCCGCTGTAGGGTAAGATCTTGGAGTAGGCCTCATTCAGTAAGATAAGTGAAAAACTAGAAAAGATGAGTAAATAGATGTGTTTTTTGCAACTCTTATTTTTCACCAGCACCTCGTCCAGAATTCGTTTGGCAGGCTCATGAGGGTCATATCAACACTCTTACACGATCACCTTTCTTCAGGGACATCATTCTTACAGTTGGTGGATGGACTTTCGCCATATGGAAAGAAGGCGYTACTGTAAGTTATCATTCTTGTCTCTTAAGTTTATTTATCTTATTTCGAAACACTGTAATTAGCCTGGGTGTACTCCTGCAGCACTGTCTCTAATCCCCCCCCCACAATTTATGCCTGGGGTCGCGGGTTTGATTCTCAATTGAACTGAAAAAGTGAATTTGTTTGATGGGTTGTTCGCTTCCTTGCCACGAGGATTTTTCTCCWGGTTTTCAGGTTTGATTAAATAGTGAATATTGAAGTGCGTGTGGAATGAGTCGCTTGCGGGAAGTGATGGTTGTAAAACATAAGTTCTTATAAGGCTATGTGACCCCTGGACTACTGGGCTGAGAAGGTTAGTTTCATTGCATTTTTTTCTTCATTTTAGAGTGATCCGTTGCTACAGTCAGCTAGTCATATTCTCAAGCTAACTAAGGGTCACTGGAGCCCATCAAGACCTGGTATGTCGTATACAGCATTTTAGCTCAGTCCTATAAAATACTGACCTCTTGGCTTTACCTAGGTGTGTTTTTCATTACAAAGACAGATGGTAGTGTAGACGTGTGGGATCTTTTAGACAGGTAACAACCATCATGTCACTGATTAAATTTCATTTGTCATGTCAACTGGGTGACTTACACTCTCGACCCCAGAAACCTGCTATTTTTACTGTGCATGCGCCTTACATGTAAGTCTCATTTAACTCTTGAATTCTACTTTGTTATTGGTTATTGGTCATTTTGGAATCACATGACACRCATCAAAATCAAACGGAGATGGGCATTATTTCGAGCATGCACAGTAAAAATGACCGGAATCGGGTCGAGAGTGTAGTGTCGTAGAGGTGAGATCACACGAACCTGGGTTGAGTTGAGTTGGTGAGAGGCGAGTCTTGGGTGTCTTTCTGGGTGATTTGGTTTTCATAAAATACAGTTAATTTCGAGGGGAAAATGTTTAAAAAGTTTAAATTTATTTTTTGACTACTAGTAGTACTAACAAGTTGAATCACAATTTGATCAATATGGAAAACACGAAATTTGACTGTATATGGATCTTTATAGATCTTATAGATCTTTTGCTCTGTCAAAATTCGGTATTGTGTTTGTACAAAAACTTGAGTAACTGATCTTTTTATGAAAACTGTAGAGAACACCAGACAATCAAAGATTTTATATGGAATGGGGGAAAAATCAAACTGAATACGATGGAATGGGGGGAAATGAACTGAATACTGAATACGCGGTCATAAATTACCGGACTTTAAATCTTTCTTGAAAGCAAGTCAAATTAAGCATGCAATAAATTTGTTAACCTCAGAAGTTTTAAACAAACAATCCTTAATACCCTCTACATATTTTGGGCAGAATGGATCCTAGAACGGACATATCGTAGACCAACATGTATGGAACAAAACACATCAAAATTGACAACAAATCAGAGGCGTAGATTCCCTCCCCCCAAAATTTATTTATCTCCGCAAGCGGCACAAATCGACAAACGAGGGTGCGCTTGCGCGTTATATTCACCTGTAGGTGACTATAACAGCATAAGACGTAAATTTTGACCAATGACCAAGTAGAATTTATTATATTCACTTGTGTAAAAATACTAAAAGCTCGGTTGTCTGCAGGTCCCACGAGCCGTCCCTAACCCAAAACGTTACTGCATCTCCAATAACAACAATCTATCCACATCAGGTGTCAGGTGCGTAAAGGATGGAACCAAATAATTGGTTCAGTATTAGTATATTTCCAAGTGCTCGGGACAGCAAAAAAAATTATAACTTTGGTTCAGTACTATTTATTGAAAACCTCATAGTATAAGTATCCTTTTATATTGGATCATTTGAGAAATGTCGATTTAATTACCTATTTTATTGTAGGTATCCTAAGCTTTAAATGCCTGATTTGAGTGCGAGAGAGGCTAAGTCCTAGCTTTTGTTTTTCCTGAAGGAAGTCGCATGCATTCCATGATTTCAGGGCGAGAAAAAAGTACTARTCACTTACAATAGCACTTGCAGATCACTTACGTTAGCATAAATATAGTGAATGATTCATGTAGCACTGATTTGACACTCGTTTCAGTAAAGTCCTAAAATAAAGCTACTTTGAAAACTGTTTTACATTTAAGTGCCTATTATAAGTCAATTATAAGGCAATAAGTCGTACTCATTGAGACAGTACTAGTTGTTGCCATGTGAAGTAATGTCCCTGCTGTACTAAGGGAGCTGGAACATAACAAACACGACCACTAGTCACTTAGCATGGCAATATGTGTCCCCTTTGACTTAACTCACTGACATTTGTCAAAAGTTCTCAATATCGATCATCAGCAAACTCCAATTATGATTGCTCAGCAGCTTTTCACTTGAACGATGCAACAACTAGTCTATGTAGATATAATTTTCTTTGTCCTTGTGAATGGCACTTAAATTTCTATACTAGCATGCATGTGACTTGCAAATGTGACGAAGGTCTCAGCCTCTTTCTGCTTGAAACTGATCAACTAATGGCTTTACTATTAGCCATTCCGATGGTTGAGGAAACAACTGGGTCGAGTGTGCATTGCAGTGCTTTGTGGGTAACTTGCTTGAATGGCTCCGATATCGAAAAATCGCTCGAGTTACATTTATACGAGCTTCATATAAATCATTTTACTTATTTCTCTAGCTAAGGTCATATTATAAAGAGTTCAGAAAAGCTAGTGATAAGCTTATAGATCCTTGGGTTTCAATCAGCTATGAAACAATTATTGATGTCGGTTTTCATAACTTCTCTGCATCTGTGATTTCTTCGTGTGATTATTTACCTCTTATAAGTTACTGAACTGATATTGCTCACCACATTATAGGCAAGCAGCAGCTATTGGCCGTGGGGGATACCATGGGCACGTTACATGTGATGGAAGTACCATGGAATCTTAGACATCCATCCACTAATGAAGTATGTCATGCTGTTCAATTAAAACGTTTTGGGGGAGGCAATGTCGACAATCATAAAACAACAAAAAGGGGAAATGGATACTATTCAACAAATGGCTTTAGTTTATCTTTGCATGAAGTGGTATTGCGCAAATTATACTACTTGGGCCACAAATAAACAAAGTCATGTCATCTTTATAGCCTGGTTCACATATGATCGCAGACGATCGCTCTCGATCGCTCGATCACTGAATCCACTCAACCGAGGATCTCAAATCGAACTGTTCACATATGATCGCAGCCGATCGCCGGCGGTTTGTTGACACCCGAGCCCGCGAATTATCACTCAGCAGTAAAACAAAGTACAATGCAGATTCAACATGGACTTAAAAAAATAATCGCTGGTAAATCAAAAAAAAAAACGTTCGACTTTATGATCGTGAATACTTCATCAGGGAAGTCATCACTATGAAGAACAGGACGTGCAATCTTAAAATATACCCCCAAACGACAGTTGTTTACTTGCCTATATGGCTTAAAAACGTAAATTGGCATATATAACCGTGTGTTGATACTTTTAAACCAGTTATATCTGAAAAAAAAACTAAAAAGAAATGCTTTTTCGCTTGTGAAAATCAAAAATATACAAGTGTTTTATGGAAAACTGAGCATTGTAGGACACCTTCCAATCTCACGATCGCAGAATTCTGTTCACATATAATCGCAAACGATCGCAAACGATCGCAACCGATCGCAGGAATAGAACCCGATTCTATTCCTGCGATCGCAGACGATCTCAGACGATCGCAGAGCTGTTCACATATAATCGCACTCGATCGCCAGCGATCCTCTGCGATCGTCTGCGATCGTCTGCGATCATATGTGAACCAGGCTTAAATGGCTTCAACTTAATGCATTCCCAACACATTAAGAATTTATGAAATATTTGTGTTCTTTCTTAGGCTAATGTCATGGAAAATTTCTTTGAGCGTGAGGTAAAGCGCCTTACGTTCGTTGAAGAACGCAAAAGGATTCGTGAAATCGAAAAGAAAGAGCATGACAGTCAGTTGTCTAAAAAACAAGATGCTAAGAAACAGGAGGAAACAGAAGCAGATTTAGAAGCCAGACAGCGAATGGTATGATAAATAAAACTGAATAAATGCTGCCTGTCGAATTTGATGTTTTTTTTCTTTTTTCCCTTGGAAGCGTTTTCCGAGCTCGTTCCCTTTATGTATCGCAGAGGAACCAATTAAACAACAACGATAATGAATTTAGAAACTAATGCTTTTCATTTGGGCTTTGGACCCGGAATTCGTTTCTTTTCAATGATTTCCTTTTGTGTGTGTGTGTGTGTATGTTTTCCTCCATTTCCTTTTTTCTCTATCCTTTTTTTTTCCTCTCTCTCTCTCTCTCTTCTATTTTTCGATTTTTTTCTGTCTTGTCTTAAGACATGACGTCACCAAAATTAATTTATGCTGTATCGAGAACTAAAACTCACGGGGACTGAGCCTTTTCAGTATGTGCTCCAAAATCATGGAACAGAGTTCTTTTCGCTATACGCAAATCCAACTCAGTTCCTGTTTTTAAAAAGAACATTAAGAATTTTTTATTTTCTAGAATTCTTTCTAATAATTCTTTAGTTAGTGCGTAATTCTTAGTCGTCGATAGTTCATGGGAAAGTTGTAGATATGCGTGCCTATAGAAATGTACTATTATTATTAT